TCACACACACAAACACAAAACCTTTATTGGCATGAAAGCACAAAACATCATGGAAATAAATAAATAAATACAGGAAAATACTAAGATGCATCAGTCACTTACACTTGGCTATTCAAGCCTCGTCTTCTGATTGCATAATATAAAAATTTTCAACAGCCTCCATTATTTCACAATTAGAATTAAACAGAAGTGAACAATAGAGTCATCAGAGTGCCAGCTCTTACCCTCTAGATAAAACAATTCTAAAACCATAATAAAGTGCTAGTAGTCGTTGTTTGTATGATGGTAGCAGCCATTATTCAGAGTTCTCAGCTCAGTCAGCTCAGTGTTCATTTTTATCATCCTTGCAGTGGTTGCTGTCCATTAGGCTGTTGATGGCAATTTCCAGAATCCAAGGCCCTCTCATATTCAACCATCCGATGTTCTTTATTGGTGATGGTGGAGACTCCCAAAAGCCTGGTGGAAGAGCTCCGTTTTACAGGCCCTGTGGAACTGTAAAAGGTCCCACAGGGCTCTGATCTCCTCCGGGAGCTCGTACCACTACGATGGGGCCACCACCGAGAAACCCCTGGTCCTGGTCATTGACAGCCTCGCATCCTTAAGACCCGGGAGGGCCAGCCGGTTCTGAGCCCCTGACCACAGCACCTTGAAACGAATCCGGTATGCTATCGGCAGCCAGTGCAACACCTTCAGCACAGGCTGTATGTGCTCCCATCTAGAGAGCCCCATCAAAAGCCTGGCCGCAGCATTTTGCACCAGCTGCAGCTTCCAGATTTGAGACAAGGGCAGCCCCATGTAGAGAGCATTACAGTATTCCAATCTGAAGGATATCTTTTTTTGCATGAAATAAATAGATTGTAAATATAAAGATTTCAAACTGTAGAGAGCATTACAGTAGTTCAATCTCAAGGATTTTTTTTTGCATGAAATAAAGATTTCAAACTGCAGATTAGGAACAATTAATTTAAAAATTGCCTTGACATTCCTCGCATGGGCTAAGTCCATCAGGTGCCATCAGGTGCTACAGAAGTAAATGTATGATTTGACACTAATCTCAGAATGCCTGCCATGACAGAGATTGAAAGCAGCAACATTTTTCCTCTCATCTGAGAAAGGGTCTCTCAGATCCTGTCATCAGTAACCTTCCTAAGGCAGGATACTAAAACTCCCTTATGTAGTTCAAAGAAAAAGAGATGACCTGGTAGCTCTCAATCTAATCCCTGAGAAAGCAGAATGAAGAAAAGAAAAGGTAGCACAACTCTAGGGTTATAAAATGAATGTGAAAAACAGTGAGCAGTTCCAGTGACTTCCTGGAAGTGATCACTGCATATACAGAACACAGACTTTTGCTGTTCGTCTCAGAGCCAGGGCTTCAGGTGTGATAATTAGGGATGGGTATGAACCAGCTCACAAAGTAAAGTTCGTCACAAATTTTGGACAGTTCTTGTTTCGCGAAGTGATGTTAGTGGAAGGGCGCCAGGCATGAGCATTCCATAAACTTTGGTGCTGTTTGTGGCGGTTTGTGAACAGATACATCTCCAGACAGAATGTCTCCACTCAAACTCTTTACAAAACTCCAATGCAATAGGGGATTGGAATTCTCCAGCCTTGGAAACATCTATAGGAGCCCCTCCAAAGCTTAGCAGGCACTGCTGACTGCCAATAACAGAGTTCTCACTCTGCTCTACAGGATCAGAAAGCTATATATATGCTCTGCTCAGCTCCACATCATTTTGTCTGTTGGCTATCTGCAGCTACACAGAGAGGCAGGGAACTTGTTAAAAGCTGACTAGTGGAGCACATGCATTTATTCCCTTCCTGCTTGTGAACTCCTCTTCCCTGCTGGCGTCTGGGTGTTAGGTGTACTCACGGCTCTGAACTCTTTGCTCATGCAGAGCAGAAGGGCACAGCACATCAATGGTGACCTGGAAGGGCTTGAGGACATGCACCATTTGGGAGAGGGTCAACCAGTCAGAGCTGATACTGAGATTCTCTTCCCCATGCAGGTTTGTCATAGAGGAGATGACATCCTGCACGGTACTCTTCTACTCCACCAAACACGCAATCACGACATAGCTGGAGTTCATCGCCTTCCCCTTGCCTCTCGCACAGCAGATGGGAAGTCTTGGTGCAGCACCGGAAGTGGGCAGCCAGGTGCCAGGCAGGGCTCAAGCAAGGACTGCATCTCAAGGGGGACAGTGTCCCAGGTGGCCTTGATGGTGCTCTCAGCCCCACAGCATCCTCCACCACCAGCTGAAGTGTGTGCGACAGACAGACAATGCCATTGAGACACACATACTTCAACTCTACCAGCATATTGCTGCTAGTGTCTGTGACCATGTAGCCACGGATGATATTGCCACAGCCCACCCATTCCCTCTAACTTCTCTGTATCACACGGCAGTGATGTTTCGCACCGTGTGGTCTGCATCCATCCCCTGCACACGGAGCAGAAATACTTTGTAGCCTGGTGGCAGGACTGCTTCCTCTGGGGCTTGGGCCACACCCCGACAGTCATGCTGGCTGCTCCAGAGGTCTGTTGTGAAGTGTACAATTCTGTCTTGCACTCTGGAGAGCTGAACCTTGACTATTGCCACTGCAGTTGGCGAAAGGCTACATCCTTCACAAGGGAAAAAGGATGGCCATCCGTAGCAATCATCTTGCTGACTATGAGATGAGTGACTGCTTCCTGGGCCCTCTACGTAGCCCTTTTGACCTTTTGCAGGGTGCCCCACCTTGATGTCCCACCCACAGCAGCCTGAGTGTGGGGAGCCTTTCTTGGAAGGGCCTCCTGCTCCCCCTCCACTTCTCTTTGCTGAGAGAATGTGGGTCTCTTCCTCCCGCTGACCACCACTCCTTCCTCCAGCAGCAACATAGTTGGGCGCACCTTTGGCAGGACTGTTGAGGACAGAGGAGTTCTACTGTGGAAGTTGGCCTTGTGCCCCTCCAGACATGGATGTGACATACCTGGCACTGTGCCACATCGGGGTCACTGGGGAGGGTGTGGAAATGTTTTCAAACTGTGGCCCCAGGATTGGAAACAGTGGAAGGCACAGATGCTTACTGGCACTGGGCTGGGAGGGGCCACGTAGGGGAATACTCAAGGCAGAAGCAGCAACAGGGAATTGGGATGTGGAAGGGGAGAATACTTCCCCCCAATCCCCTGAATCACTCCGACCCCATAAATCCAATCCTCACCAAACTTGGAGGGCAGGTGGAGAAGTGTCAGCCAGAGATCTGCTGTCAGTTTGGTGTATCTAGCTTGCACAGGATCTATTCTATACATTCCTGAACTTGTGCCTCATTTCCCCAGAAAGCACTTTCCTGGGGGCACTTTCTTTAGGGGGCCATAACACGGACATGTATCCAATTGTTCCCAAACTTGGCAGACAGTACAGGAGAGTCAGCTGGAGATTCCCTGCGAGTTTGGTGACTCTGGCACATCGGGAGTCTGTTTTACTGCATCACGAACCTCACAAACTGAACCAGTTAATCTAGTGTCAAAAAGCTTGTGATGGTCCATGGTTTGTGAACTGCACATGCCACGAACTGAACTGCATTTTCCCGGCTCGTGCCCATCCCGACTGATAATCAGGTCCCAATACGACATGAGGTGCAATTTCTTCTATGAGCTTTCTGAAGAAGCTTCCAGACTTGCACTATGACAGGACTGGAGAGCCCCAGGATGTGTATTCTGCTTTCTCTGCTGGTGGTTCACGGGATACTAACAGGTACTGAGTTAATGGTGCCTTAATAGTTGTGAAATTATTTTTCAGCTACCCTCCAAGTATACAATATCTGAGTATGTAATATCTGAACAGTGTCAGGCAAGACACTAATCTGGACAAATTCAGTAAATAAAAACAAACAACTTCTGAAGACTGGCACTGCCTTTCCTTGTAGACTTGTTAATGCAGATATCCCCAGGACAGGGCTCAAGGTCCTTGCTAGCTTCCTTAGTTGCATTCTTGTACTGAGGAAAACAATGCACATTGATAGCAATACTAATGAATCAATCAAAGAATCAATTAGGTGCAAAGTTTGATGCCAGTTGTTCATCAGGACATCTGTTCTTGCTATTCCTTTGCCTTTCCATCCTAATTTTGTTGCCAACAGGTTTGGGGCTGCATTATACTTTAGAACCAGAGTTCATTTCGGGGGGGATCGCGGAGGATCGCAGTTCCCCCGGGTGAGGTATGGGGGGCGGGGCACATGACGAAGCCCCGCCCCCTGCTTCCGGCCGCCCCGCTTCCGGCCCTCATTCAGCCAGGAGGCAGGAGAAGAGGGAGGGTAAGTTGCTTCCTCCCTGCCTCTCCCCACCCCTGCCTGCCTGGGGCCAGGGAGGGCCTTCGCAGGACTTCCTTGCACTCCCGCCAGCCTTGCAGGTCCATCGCCGGGCCCCTCATGGGGCTCGGCAGTGGGGCTGCCAGGCTGGCGGGTGCGGCTGGGACCATTGGGGGCGGGGTGTGTGGCCTTATGACACACCTCCGGTGATGTCAGGGGGTGTGGCCTTATGACACACTTCCGGTGATGTCAGGGATCCCTACACTGTATGAGATTATGATGGCACTTTATCTCTCATCTCAATCAAGGGAAGAAAGTCTGCTTTCCACAGCAATATTCCAGCATCACCTTGAAAAGAGTCCTACCTCACAGTATGAAGACCATTGCATTCAAAAATGCACTGCAGTGTCCAGGAATTTAGAAATTAAATGTGGAAATCATAACCGAGAATTTCAAGTTGACGATATGAAGATAAATACTGGACTAAGTATCAATGGTCAAATCTTTCCTGACAGTTGAGACGTATTGTAGAAACAGTGATTTGTTGTCCCAAATGAAGTTACTGTTGCAACCATTACAGCTTGTATTACTTTAAAATAAACCTTCTGTTACTCAAATAATTCTCTTGCAAAACATAAGGAATAAACTAAAGGAGTTTTGTATTTCCAGCACCATGAGTCTAAATCAGGGTCTTTCACAAATATTCAGCCCCTTACCTTTAATATAGTTCTGGGACGTTTTTTAAAGTGAAGTTTTGGCTTTTCAACCACAGGAAGTGGGGAAAGTTTCCGAAGTTCTTGCAGGACAGCTATCGCAGCACGCTTCTTTGAGAGCTTCTTGCTGTTTCCTTCACCTTCTGCTGAGAACTCTCCCACTGATACCCGAGTAACAAAGCTCTTCATATGTGGTGGCCCACTTTCCTTTATTACCTATTTCACAAGAAAGCACAAGAAAATCAAATAGTTATAGAATTCACTATAGATCTTTTTACATAAATCTGTATTTGTTACAGTTTTGAAGTACATGACTAACATTAATAGGAAGATTAATAATAATGAACTTGTAAATGAGGCTTAATAATGAATACTATGTTTCAGAGCATAATTCTTTACTTGCTGTGAATTTCCATTCCAATTTAACAATTTGTGTCTTACATTACATTTTTTAAAGTGTCTCTAAGCCTGACTTCACTTCATAAGTCCCTGTGATGTCTACTGGATTCACTTCTTAATAAGTGTTATTAAGACTACAGCTTTCTACATATCTCCTGAATTTCAGTGGAATTCAGGCATGCCTTAGATTCTCTGGATTACACCCATGTGGAATCAATTGATTGGAATCCATTAATAATGTAAATTTCCTTTCATCTTAGGATCATTACATAAGGTAAAAGAAATGCTTACTGTTGTACTGAAAGGAGAAGTTATATATATATCTGTTTTTAAATGCTTCAAAGGAACATTTGCAAGATATCTCAGAGATTTTACAATGTACTGAAGTTAAAAGGGGGCAATTTCATATTAATGTTCTTTAAACTGATAAAGACTCACGCTTGCAATAAACAAAAACACACAAAAGATTATCCAGTAAACACTGTTTAATGGTTCATCAGTATAAAACATACTTCAATATTTGTTTTAAAGAACTTATTCATACCAATAGACATAACTCTGTGTTCTACACTTATTTAATCTCTACGATATAGTCCAATATATATCCAAATGCGTTACATTTTGAGCCCTTTGCAAAGCAGTAATCATAACTAATACATACAACTCCCTAAATTACAATCACTCATTTTCTTGGGGACTTTTACTTTTTTTCCTGTGCCTTACAAAGACTAAGCTTTCATAGCAATTTTTATTACACTTATGTGAATTTGCCATTGCCTTCTTAGCTACTGTTATATCATTGGTGAAATGCAATACACTCCCTGTATTCCTTGTCTGCAGCAATTAAGAACATAAGAACATAAGAGACGCCAATGTTGGATCAGGCCAAAGGCCCATCCAGTCCAACACTCTGTGTCACACAGTGGCCAGAAATACCAGTGCCATCAGGAGGTCCAGCAGTGGGGCCAGGACATTAGAAGCCCTCCCACTGTTGACCCCCCCAAGCACCAAGAAGACAGAGCATCACTTGCCCCAGAGCCCCTAGCTATACCTTGTGGCTAATAGCCACTGATGGACCTCTGCTCCATATGCTTATCTAATTCCCTTTTGAAGCCATCCATGCTTGTAGCACCCACCACTTCCTGTGGCAGTGAATTCCAAGTGTTAATCACTCTTTGGGTGAAGAAGGACGTCCTTTTATCCGTAGTGTTTCCTTAAATAGAGGCCTCCCCCAGCAGAGGTCAGGCAGCAGCTATTCAAATTCAAATTCACCCAGGCACTCAATCACAGGCAAAACAATGCCCCTTCCACTTCCTCTCAATTACAGGCAATCCCAGTCAAACAGTGCCCGTTCCTCTCCCACACGCAATCAGCCAGGACTCTGCAAGAACTCTAAGTGCTTCCACACACTGCTAAACACAGTTTTCCCACAAAATATCCTTAGCTGAATTCTCTCAGCTGAAAGCAAGTAAAAGAAACCCACTCACCACTCTCACAGCTCTCTCTCCTGCTCCTGCTCAGAGCTCAGGAGAACTGCTCTTAAATTTTTATTTATTTTTGGTATCATAAAGGGTAAGAATATATGCAATGAATTATGAGTACACATTTAGTGCTTTGAAAAGAAGAAAAATGCAAGGCTGCTCATTTTAATCACTTGCACTACCATTTCAACAATCCTTCCTTATTTTAAAGGTTATTCTTTCTGACAAACATGAACTCTTCCATGGCATTACAGCATCCATCAATTCATCATCATTTCTTTAAGAAAACACTGGCATCTGCCAACCATCCGAAAGAAAAGGTCCCCCATTATGTTTATACCGTTATTAAACCACTAATGTGGGATGAGGACTAAGCAAATGGGAAATCATTCCCATTGTCCTAAGGAAAAAAATAGCTATGCAAACTACAGGATCAGTCAGTGCAAGTGACAAAGGCCAAAAAAGTGTCTGTGACACACAAATCTTCAGCACCACTTGCACAGGGTATCTTTCAACCAGTGGAAATTATAAAGCAGCTGTATGAGACATCCTTACATTTTACTTCAGAATGGGAGTCATTAGACTTGTAAGCAGCAGCAGAACTGTTAATCAGCTTTCCAGTCAAGCATGCACAGAGGTCATTTCGGGGGGGATCGCGGAGGATCGCAGTTCCCCCGGGTGAGGTGCAGGGGGCGGGGCACACGATGAAGCCCCGCCCCTTCTTCCGGCCGCCCCCTTCTTCCAGCCTCATTCTGTTGCAGGAGGAGGAAGAAGCAGGAGGGTAAGTTGGCGTCCTCCCCCTCTGCCTGGCCAAGGCCATGCCACGTGGCCTCCGCAAGGACTCCCAGCCCCATCCAGGAGCTTCCCCGAGGTAGCTGTGTTAGTCTGTTGCTGCAAAATAGTCCAAGAGTTCAAACAGCACCTTTAAGACTAACAAATAGCACCTTTAAGATGAACCTTTAAAACTAAGACTAACTGAGTGGTGGGTGTGGCCTTATGACACACTTCCAGTGATGGCAGGGGGTGTGGCCTCACGACACTTCCGGTGATGGCAGGGGGTGTGGCATATGCTAATGAGTTATGCTAATGAGTTCCCCTAGCTCTTTTTCTATGAAACGACCCCTGAGCATGCACATTAACAAGCATCCACAGATTTGCTTACTATGATAAAACTATGAATTTTGGGGGTTCTAAAACCAGTTCTGTTATTAAAAGGTTGTTTGGTATTTCTAAAAGATGTTTGATGTCAAGCCTAACTTACTTGATCAGGCACAGTGAATGGGATTATGCAATTGTGTAGTTCCTCTGGGCTAAATGTTTAGGGCAAAATGCCCTTGGGCCAAGGCTGCTGACATCATAGGGCAGAACTTCGTTCAAACTTGCACTGTACACACCGCACCCATTTTCCAGATATTGTGCAAGGCTGAAAAGCTGTTTACATGAAACATGAAATACCTTTTAACTGTTTGCTGACTTACATAAGAAAGATGATATAATGTTGTCTGTGGTTTTTCTAACATTCATAGAATAGTTACAAAGCACCTATCTATGAATAAGAACATTTTGAAAGCTTTAATGCATGCCTGACAAAATAATACCAACAGCTCTTAAATTAAAATCCTATTACAAACACTAGATCCTGTGGCCTGTTACAAAATAATGAGTCATTGCACTGAAATAAGACCTTGCTTCTAAATATAGAATTTGGGTTAAACCTGAATTTCATCTGTATATGTATCTATACTGGCTTTTCTTAACAATTTTTTTTCCTTCAGAAATGGCTGTCTCAGGTTAGCAATTGTGTTTTTGACAAGAGTTCACAGAAAAACTTGAGACAACCTAATAACAGAGTGAAAAAGAACACTGATAGAACCCCTGTCACAGATTCATCTGGTGCTTCTAAGTTCAACGTAGATGCAAGGAGACGAACAGGGATATGCATCTTAGAGAAGTTACATTGTGAAAAAGAGCCATGTCAGAGCTACTAGAAAATGCTGACCGCAGTAAACTCCAGCATCCCTGTGAATAAGCTGGATGGAAGCCCCGTGAATAAGCCTGATGAAACTCTTTTAAAGAAATTATGGAAGAAGAAAAGGCTGGGCAGAGATGCCAGATATTTTATTCCTCAATAGCAAAGCAATTGCAATGGCTGGCGATCAAGCAGACCAGTTAGCCACATCTTTGAATTTCTAGCATACAGGACTGAGTCTCTTTCTTGTTGTACCCTGATGTGGCAAGCTACCCAGAAAGGAACTGCCTGGTAGGGCAGGACAGGTCCAGCAGCAGGACTCACCTTGAACACAGTGGAAGCAGGGGAAGAAAGGTGCAATCAGAACAGCTTCAGCAACAGGGAAGCCTTGGCAGTCTGGCCCAGGACTCAAAAGGTGTGAAAGCAGTGAGCAAGCCTGGGTGTGAGAACAACAGCTCTCTGGGCCCAGGTGTTTTGAGGCAGGGCAGGGAATACAGAAGAGGAGAGTGGAGCTTAGCTCAAGGACCAGGTGTGAAGCTGGGGTTATAAAAAGGGAGGACACGAGAATGAAGTAAGCTGCTTTGGGTTCCCATTGGGGAGGAAGGCAGGGCATAAAAGAAGTAAATAAATACTCATACCATATATATTTTATCAATTGTAAGAATACCATTGGTGCTTTGCTTCACGTTACACCAGTAACTACAACTTTCCATCCATCTACCCTCCAATTTAAAAAACTGAGGCAAACAAAAGTTTAAAGAGATTTGTTGTCGAAGGCTTTCACGGCCGGAGTTCATTAGTTGTAGATTTTCCGGGCTGTATGGCTGTTGTCTTGGCATTGTAGTACCTGACATTTCGGCAGCAGCTGTGACTGGCATCCTCAGAGGTATAACACAGAAAGATGGAGTACTCTCTGTGTCAATGTGAGAAGAAAAATGATAGGCAGGTAATTTATATCTACTCAGGAAAGTGGGGTAGGGCTGAGACATTATCTTGTAGGAGTTTCCCAGGCTGTGACATGCTAATGGAGAAGCTTTCCTGAGGAAAAATACACCAGAAAAATACAACAGATGCTATGATCGGCAAAAGACAGAAGAGACCCCCTCACTTCTGCAGGAGTATACCACATACCATGCAGTTGTGGACAGGTTTACATCAGGACCACACAGCGTAGCATCCAGACAAGAATAAAAGAACATGAAAGACATTGCAGACTTGGCCAACCTGAAAGATCAGCAGTGGCTGAACATAGCCTAACTCAAACAGGACACAGTATCTTATTCCAAGACACCAAAATGCTGGACAACACATCCAGTTACCATGACAGATAACACAGGGAAGCCATTGAAATTCATAAACATAAACACAATTTCAACAGGAAAGAAGAGAGTTTAAAAATAAATAGGGCATGGTTTCCTGTCCTGAAAAACACAAAATGCTCTACATCTTACAACAGCACTACAGGTAAGATTAGAATTTCAACAGCCAATCCATATGCTAAAGAACCTCCTCAGGAAAGCTCCTCCATTAGCATGTCACAGCCTGGGGAACTTCTACAAGATAATGACTCAGCCCTACCCCACCTTCCTGAGTAGATATAGATTACCTGCCTACCATTTTTCTTCTCACCTTGACACAGAGAGTACTCCATCTTTCTGTGTTATACCTCTGAGGATGCCAGTCACAGCTGCTGGCAAAACGTCAGCTCCTACAATGCCAAGACCACGGCCATACAGCCCAGAAAATCTACAACTAATTTAAACAGATTATTTGCTCAGCAGTGGAGGATGTTAAAAATAAATGCACACAAAAACTGCCAAATACTCCAGACAGTAAGGAATATTTTGATAGTGGCCATTAGAGTTAATAATACTAGCAGAAATTAGCTGGGCTAGATTGAAGTCCAATTGTACCTTTAGGGAACAACAAGATTTTCAGGGTACAAGCTTTTGAAAGTCAAAGCTCCCTTCGTCAGATATGAGCTGGCAAAAATTAGCTGGCATCCTTTTTCTAGTAAGTCTGCATGTTCAAGACAATGCTGTATACTAACCATCAGGAGAGGAGGAGGGAGATTATATGTTCATATGAGAAGAATCCAATGTAAAACTTACTTCAAAACTGACAGGCATGTTGCGTTTCAGTGCAATTTCAAAGACTACACTGATCTCTGACTTGTTTGCGTCTTTTTCTTCTTCCAGTTCTTTTCCGGTCTCGCCATTCTGGTCAAGCAAGATAACAAAGTTCTATTAAAACTTTCTAAGAACAAAATTCTAAAATTTTGTTAAAATCTGAAGTATATTTCCCCAAAGGAATGTGTGGAAGAATGTCAATTTTCTTGATGTGAAATATTGTCGAATTTATATATTGATTATTGTCTGCTTTTCAGGCAGCATTTTCCTAGAGCGCGTCACATAAATCAAGAGACACAAGTCCTGCCCTTGGGCTTACAAACTAGAAAGGGAAGGGAAGGCTGTTTATAATCTTTCAATTATGGAATCATAAGTGTCAAACTGATATGAAACAAGGCTCTTCCATATTCATTCTGTAGTTCCTTAGATTGCACGACTTTGGGCAACATTTCACCAAGAAGTTAGAGGTGTACCAAATACTTTTTATATGTATATCATGCCCTTTCTTCCTGGAAGTCAGGGTGACTTTCATAGAGCTGAATCCCTTGGTAAATTTCCTCTAAAAGGACAACTTTTTGTAGAAGAATTCAGTAATGAGTACTGTTTTCCAAATATTTTCAAATACTTGAGAATGTAACATATGTGCACAAATAATACTTCAGGGAACAGTTATAGAGTAACTAAAATATAAAAGGAACTGTAACCTGGTTGTAAGCGCAATTTTAAGCACCAGTACTGTTTTTCAACATTCTGTCACTCAAGAATTCCTATCACTCACTTAGGGAATTAGTATCAGTCAGGAGTCTTATAATTCTGTAACATCTTCAGCATTTAACAGAAGTGAATTTCTGCACACATATACTATAAAACACATTTCAACTTAGTAGTGAAGGGAACTTTTTTTTAAGTTTAGTGGTTCTGAACACTTTATCCTAGAGAACAGTCCTTAAACACTATATAACACAGCCACTTCCACCAAGCAAAAGGGGCTTTATTGTGAAGGGGGGGGGGAGAGCCCTGTTCTTTCATCGTAAGAAGCCATGGGTTATTTTTAAACACTGAACTTAAACAGTACTAGAATCAAAGGCTCAGCTCCTCACTACTGCTAATAAAGGTATTTTCCACATGTAACAGGCTTGTGTAGTTTCCCTATTGCTGTTGCGGTTGCTGATACAGTGCAGCAGTAATGGGGCTTCCACATGGAAGGTTTCCCCACATTTCCCCTGCTCCAATCCCCTGGCAGCAGCCATTCCCTTGGTTCCCAATATCATTGTGCCCTTTTCACTTAAAAACAACAACCACCAAGTGAATATCATTATGTTGTTATAACATTATATTAAGTTATCTGAATCCCCAGTTTTCCTTTTTTTTAAAAGAATCAAGTTTCTAGCCCTTTTTGTTGCAGCAATATAATATTTCTATATATCTCTGCAATGAGGAGGCTAGAGACTTTAAAAAAACAACGAAAACTGTGAGTTCAAAGAACCTGATACACAGACTTTTATAATGTTATGACATTCAATTGCCAATTTTTTAAAAGCCCCCCTTTCAGTAGTGAGGAAGGGGGAGATTGCTGCTAGGGGACAGTTACCAGGAAAATGCCTACTATGTGGATGGGACCGGGAAAATCTGACCTTTCCTGCTTACACAACAGTCAACCAGATTTTGCTGTGATTTCCCCCCAAACTTTGCAGCATAGCGGGCTTGCAAAAGACAGGAGAAAAGCCAAGGAAAATCCAGGAGGTGCACAAATATATTATAAAGCTATGGGGAAAGTTGTTGGGAAAACCACTTCCCAACAGCACTGAACCTGTGCCAAATAAACCATGTGGAAAAAGGTCAAGGAGTGAGTTTATTGCTAGAAGATGAGAATATTTGGTCCTGGGACAAACATTATTTGGTCCTGGGACAAACATTAAATGAGTCACAGGTTTGTTGTCTCAGCTCTGGTTAAGATACCAAAAGTACAATAAAGCCACGGATTAGCTTGAGAAGCTAAATTCTGAGCCCAGACAATAGGTAAATGGGGGGGGGAGACTAGCAAAAGGAAACTGCCTTAACAATGGTTTGCTCAGCTCAACACGATTGCATCATTTAACTACGATTTGCAAACTCACTTTAAACCATGGTTTCCATATCCTCATCTGAAGCCTTAATCATAGTTTTAATTAACCAGGCATAATGTTTAAGAAAGTAACAATGATTAAGTGTTGTATTTGTACAGGACCTTTGAAGCAGGAAGCAAAGTAGATATTTTAGGACCAGAAGTTGTCAATCACTGGCTGTGCCCTACTAAATGGTTGCAGGGTTTAATAGGCAGCCTTTTTATTATAGGCCATTAACCAATAGCTGAAAATTAACTTTTGTACATCTCTAGGTCTTGTAACCTTTATGTATGGAGACATGAAAGCTAACTCACGGTGTGGTTTTGTATTGAGGTTAGTGGCTAACCTTGAATTCTCAGAAGACTACTTGAGGACTCTGGGCTTCCATGCAGCCAAACTTTTAGTAAAACAAGGACTGTTAGAACAGAGTGCTTAAATTGATGATGGATTAGTAGGACTTTTGAGAACAACCCTCTTTTACAGGCCGTTACTTCCTTCTCCCCTGACTCTTCCAGAGTACCTTAATGACATTATGAATTATGAGTACAGAAAGGTTTTCACTAAGGCATGCCTGGATACATATAGTGGAAGAGTTTGTCCCTGTGACTGTATGTCTATTGAGGATTTCTCCCATGTCACATTCCAGTGCTTGAGATATGAGGCTGAGTGAACATGCAACCTTTTAACTTACGTGCCTTAACCATCAAATACTTACCTTATAAAAGTGGGCAGCTGAAATCTAGCAGAAGCTAAACAGGGACACGAGTACTCTCCTACCTTATTCATAGCTATTGGCACAAAACAACAGCAGCTCTTGAATCCCTTTCACATAAACTTCCTTACCACCAAGACAAAAATAAAGGCCCAGGGACAGGTTAATGATTGGTTTGGTTGTTCTGAAGATCCATGGCTTACGTGTGATTCTCATCACAGCAGGAAAGCTCTTGGCTATGCATTCCCTTCTCAGGCCTCACTTCAGCCACTTGGCAGGAATAATCTGGCAGCTGTATAGCAGTTCTTTCATGAAGGCGGGTTCGTGTTCCTCGTTTTCTTCACTGCTGTTTTGCGTTGTGCTTTCCCAAATAGACACAATGAAGACTCACGCTCATAAAGTCTCTCATTTTAGTTGTAAAATACTTTTACGTGTACTTCATTTTAAGCTAAAGGGGAAATGCTTAGGAGACTCGTATTTGCTTAGTACCAAGCTTTGGCCACTATGCATACAGAGGATTTTTAAAATTATCATTTCAGTCTAAAACAGCAGTTCACATCTACGATGAACCAGGTGTACCAGTTCAGCTGCACTGTTTCTTACTGGGAATTTTTTGTAACTCCTCTGACCAACTGTAAAACTTTCCATCTAGAAATAGGGAAACTGCAATAGTGATCACATTTGGGTTCCTTAACATCTAGGGTCCAAATATACCTGTGGTTTGCACTGGTATGGGAGAAAACTACAATATGGAAAAGCTCATTCCAGCCTTATAGGGCTGTTGTAAGGATTATTGAGGGTAATATATGTAAGGAGCTTTGAATGTTTGAAATGTGGTAAATATTATTATTATACTCGAACAAGAGGCAGCTCATTGAATCACAGCCACAGTATTGACAGTAGAGCAAAAGTGGCAACAGGCGAAAAGTAACTTCTTCCTTCAAGTACATATTTTGTCCACATTTAAGAAAATCTGAAAACAATCAAAATCATGAACAACTTCCACTAAAATAGATGGGACGTCATTTGTCATGTCTCAGTCCATTGTTTTAAACAGGACATGCAACTTATGTTCACTTCCAAAGAAAGAAGCCCACTGTATTTAGTGGACTTCAAGAAAATCCAAGTAAATTCACAGCCTTAGTCACAGCTAACTTTTGACTAGATTATGCTTAAACATTACTGCACAACACAGATTTTCAATATGTGTTGTCTACAAGGGATAGTTCTTGAAAATATATGCTCTTGGGCCAAACGGCAAACAATGTTAAGGATCTGTCATCAGATCCCAACATTTAAGCCCTGAGCATAACAGCCTCAGAGCACAGGGAGCACATTTGTAATAGAGCTGCAGCAATGGAACAGGAGCTTGATTTTTCCCCACACAAGGAGGGCATGCTTTCTCGAGGGAGAACTGCTGGCAAAGCTTGAACACATGAAACTGTCTTATACTGAATCAGACCACTGGTCCATCAAGGATTGGGAGCAGATCTCTAGGATCTTAGGTCTTCCTATCACCCATTTCCTGATTCTTTCAACTGGAGGAGTGGGGATTGAACCAGGGACCTTCTGCATGCCAGGGAGATGCTCTTCAACTGAGTCATAGCCCCTTCCTGGCCTTAATCTAATCCCCCACACTTTTTGAGCTTAAACTACATGTGGGGACATCTGATCACAATTCCCAACATCATGCAAAGTTTGTCCCACTGCCTATAATGTTTAGATTCTGTTCTTTATTTACTCATCTTTCATTATGTACTATAGATTTGAAACAATATTTATTCATTCACCTTTTCATTATCTTTTTTGTTATAAACATTTTATTAACTTTTTAATGACGTATAATTACAATACTTTAACAGATTGCAAAAAGCATGTCTCCCCAGTAAAATAATTAAATCATTCCGTCTTAAAACTGGAAGACTGAGCAAACTAATGATCCACTGGGGGACCCAAACAGACTGAAAACCTAAACCCATCCAACAACTGTTTGGAAACTGTATCAAAATGAACCTGTAATTTCATTTACATGCACAAGATTTTATATCAAAAATATCACTTGAACATAAGAGATGCCAATGTTGGATCAGGCCAAAGGCCCATCCACTCCAACACTCTGTATCACACAGTGGCCAGAAATACCAGTGCCATCAGGAGGTCCACCAGTGGGGCCAGGACATTAGAAGCCCTCCCACTGTTGACCCCCCACCCGTTGAAGTATTTAAGTTAAAAAATCTATATACCACTACTCTTTTATGCCAATAATGATTATACTTATACTGTTCTTTTGCTATTGATTGTTACTTTTTATCTTTTACCAGTTTGGGTTATTCTAATTTTATTGTTGTTCTTTGTTTTTGATCAGCTCTGTTTAGGGATTTTACTTCTGTTTTCTTTACTGATATACTTGTGTTGTGAGACCAACTCAGAAAGGTTTTCTTATGGAGATATCTCATAGAAACATGTGAAATAAGTAAAACCAAATAACAAAGTGTTATCTTTGGGAGGGGGGAGAAGACAAAACTGCTGTAATTTTGGGGATGCAGGGAATATAGATGAAGAATATGGATCTTCCTTCTTGGTTCTACCTCCAATGCTTTTTTACCAAATTGCAATTCAGTTCCTTATTAAATGTGATTATCCCGCCACCTAGTGCCTTTATAGCTTAAGACCATTGTACAGAAAGTTGCTGGTAAGTGTGATAGTCAGAGCACCTTATTGGACTGTGCCTGTAAGACACACCAACAGTCTCGCAAGTATTTGGAATTTTTAAAATGATAGGGTATTTTTTGTACTTTATTCTTGCTTTCGAACTGCTAGGTTGGCAGGAGCTGGAGCTAGAGACAGGAGCTCACCCTGTCTTGCGGCACCCGGGTCTTGAACCGCTGAACTACTGACCTTCCACAGCCTGCAGTTCAGTGTCTTTGGAACTTGAGCCACCGCAGCTCCATTTTTGTACTTTATAAGACTACAGTTTTCTAGTCAACTGTGTCCCTTGAAAGAAAACGTGTGGCAATTTTAAGTTAGGCAATTTTTTTTCTCTCATAACAATCACCACACCATTTTGGAATGCAACTTCTTGTAAAACAACTTTATAGAGTTATGAATATCAGCACCAGACACTAGGGACTTACAACCTGACCATCATTTGTATAATGAGAAACACTCCATGCACACAGGAACTAAGCAAATACAGAAAGCTATAACCAGGAACTGGATCCCTTGGAGTGGAATTTTTATTTTATATTTTTATTTATTTCACTTCTGGGGGGGGGGAATCAAGAGTTGGCTTCTAAGTATTGTGAGTTAAACTATGTTTATAGAAGAAAAGCTTCCTTACCTGTAAGGAGACATGGGTATGATGTTCCAAATCCACTATCACCCTCCAGATGTTGCCAGTGCATTTGTGGACAGCTGATGTTGTTTGAGTGGAATCTGTGTTCTCATATATATAAGAATACTTGAACATGCATTGTATCCCTCGGACTCTTCAAGAGCTAAGCATGAAAATGGACACTGAATCCACTCATTTTAAGGAAAGGCAATAGCGTGAATGCCATATGTGGGCAAAACTACAACTTCCTGCTCAGTTTTTCCCAAGCCAATGCAGCAGGAGAGACACTCATCTGTTGCAAGGAAAGAGGACAGGTTATGTGATTGTACAGATGACCACTTCAAGAACATCAACTACTTTCAAAAGTGCTGGCAACATCATCCAATGGGAAATAGTGGAGTGGATTTGGAATCTCATACTGCTAACTGGAACAATCAGACATTGAATGATGCTTGTTTAACTTTGTAGCTATCCAAATGAGTTGCTCTGAGCAAAGCATGGAAAGGAAAGGAAGTCTTCTGTCCCAACACTGCTGGTACGGCGATGAGACATCCAAATCAGAGGAATCTCCTTGTTCTCAAACGGAAGAAGTCCTGGATCTAGCCCAGGAATGATTCGGGGGGAGGGGGGGCTCCTCAGATCCAAGCACCAGAATTGAATTCACAGGGTTCAAACCCATGGTCAGAACGAAAGCTATGAGACATGTAGTGGACTTGAGAAAATGGCACTTGAGGTAAAGAATCAGAACCTGTGCAGTTGCTGGTTTGTGAAGCACAATGGCTGAAAAGATGCAAAATAGACTCTATGGTTTGACTTCTGCTTTGCCTCATCTCAGGATCCTTTCAGAGGTGAAACAGAAGTGTCAACTGTCTAGCTGCTCAGGTGTACAAGACAACAGGAGTGGAAACAGGCAATTTTGAGTAAGAGAATGTTGATGGTTTAGTCCTTGGTCTTGCTGGCACTGAAGAAGTTGGTCCTGATGCATTCAATGGGGGGAGAGTCAAGCCATCAGCAGACGATATCTGGTCCTATATGAAGAACCTTTCTTTCACACTTGTTTTATGACCTTTTGACAGTGTCGACAAGAATACAGTTGATGTTTTTGCCCCAGAGTGTCCATCAGTGCATGGAATTTTACTGCTACAATTCTGACACAGTATGAACATGGATCAAAGTGCCATAAGATAAAGAAGTCCGCATCCTGAGATGCCATGTTCTCCTCAAATTGCTGCAGGAGGGTGGTGTCAGTGGACAGCATGGAGTATAATGTGGAGTTTGCAGTGGGAAGGGAAGCCAGTAGAGTTCTTACAGAAGGAGACCTGGGATCCAACCACAAGTCTATCTTTCCCATATGACTGCTACAATTCGTTCTAAATTAATGGTACATGCAGGGGTCATTTCCTGTGGGAGCACACAGGAGCGGAGCTCCGGCAGTAAGGAGCCCAGGGGGTGGGCACATGCAACAAGCCCCGCCCCCTGCTCCCAGCAGCCCTCAGTCGGGCCATGAGGAAAAAGAAGCAGCCAGGTAAGTTGCAAAGCCCCCCCCCCCGGCCTGCCTTCAGGTACAAGCTCTCCCTCCTCTGTGACGGCAGATCTGCGTGCCCCCCAACCCCATATCTAGCAATCCAAAACAGTCCAGTGGAGCCTGAGCGGTGGGTGTTGCCTTCTGACAAACTTCCGGTGATGTCAGGGGGTGTTGCATAGGCAAAGTTATGCTAATAAATTATGCTAATAAGCTCCTGCACCTCTTTTTCTATGAAATGACCCCTGGGTACATGTAAAACTATTTGCCTGTTATGGACTGTAGCTAGTGGATACAGATTTCCCCTGTATTCCATACCCCCACGCCTTTTTAACTCCAGAAAAGCTAACACTAGAGAGTAGAGAACTGGCATTGACAAAAAAGATGTGTAGGTCAGGAGGTTACAGTGAGAAGGAGAGAATCCCCCCATTCACTAATCTTCCAAGACTCCATTGGCAGATGAAGAAGGAAGGGCAATTTACTTGCTTATACCTCCTCCCTACATGACTTTTTTAACACAAGGGTCTTACAACCTCCAACTTCTTTCTGGGAGAAAGAGAACGAGGGAAGCTTTTTGTTTTTGTAGAAAGATCACATTTGTAGAAAGATGTGGGGAAATCACCAGTACTGGTAGAAAAAGTAGGGGGGAAATCACTAACCTGAGTTAACTTTTTAGGAATTGGCTCATTCTGAAGAGCTTGAAGTGCTTTCGTTGCAGCATTGTGTCTAGCAGCTTGGCGCGTCTTCCCTTCACCCAAAAATTCTCGATCACCCACAGTCAACTGGACATAGAAAATTTTAGGTACTGGGCAGTGATACCTAAGAAAATGTATCAACAAATCAGTTCCCCATTAATTCTCTACAATATATGAAAATTCTATAAACCAACTTTCAAATATACCATTAGTAACAAAAACAGGCTGAAAATTAGTCAATGAATCAATTATATATTAAAAATCCTTTAGACTGGCCTGGGCTATAGACAAATATCAGGCAACAGCACCATTGTACTCGTCACAGACAAAATCAAGTATGACTGAGATGTTTTTGATTTTTTATATATATACAATTTTGAAAGCTATAAAACCGGGCACTTCTGGTTTTGAAAAAGGTACCCTAATTCATCTGCAGATAATTTTCTTAACACAAACATTAAAAAAAAAAAAAAAAAACACCCCTTGCAGCCAACATGGGCCAAATGAGGTTAGATATTAAAGAAAAGTTAACATAAAAGGCCTGTTGCCCTGCAAGGCACATATTGTGCTGTTATGGACAAAGTTCATAAGTAATAAAACCTGGACTGTGCAAGCAATGTGCAAATAGGGACTAAACTGTGTGGTGACCCAAAAAGGATGCCAGCTAGACACACGCCCAGAAACAGAAAGCTTTCCTGTATGTTGTGCCAATGGTTCCTGGAAGTTACCTGACCTCTTGCCTGCTGTAAGATGGACCAGCTCCCTAGCCATGTGAAGCACTGTAAACCCAGAGAGAAGACCAGAGACAAAGAAATCCAAACGCCATGAGAAGCCTCTTCCAACACACGCAGGCAGCATTCCCCTCCCCCACCGAGTCTTACCTAGCTGAAAGGTGACAGGCAGAAGACAATCACGGAATCTTAATGACAAAGACTCTGGCCGCATGAGTCATAATCCCTTCAGGTGCTACTGCTCAGCCCAAAGTTACTAGATCTCAATATTGTCCACTCCCTTAATATCCTACCCCTAAACCCTGCTCCAATAGGATGTTTTTGGGACGGACTAGTAGGAGGTGGGCCAAGACGTGTGACCAGCCTGACTCTTAAAAGGGGGCACCCAGCCATGTGGTCTCTCTCTTGCTCTCTCACTGCATCTAACCCCTCCCTATCTCACTGAATCTGGATTAGCTACCCAAGAGTCTATCCACGTGTCTTTGCTGGCCTAAGACATGACCCCATTTCCTTATAGTCTCCCTCATTTTTTCCCCTAAGGATCGTTCCATCTGGTCATGGACAGGTAACTGTATTACCCCTCAACAAAACATACTGCTAATGCGGAAGTGCTATCTTCCTCTATCTAATTTTCTTAGAACTGTATAATTATGAGTGTGTTTGTGAAGAATCTATAGTAAAGGAAATAATTTTATATTGAAACGTGCCTCTGAGTCTATTCCTGGTGAGTTGGAAAAAGTGGGACCCCTGTATACACTGGTGCTTGCTCCTTCATTTTGTCTATTGCCCTTAATTTCCCCAAATACCAATCAGAATCAAGGCAATTTGGCTAACAAGCCCTGGTGGTTCTTTAATAAATAATTTTATTGAAGATTATTCAGGAGGTAGCAGCCTAAAGCAAGGATGCAGCAGAACTACCACTCCTTCTTTCTTGTATACTAATGCCCCGGGAGACAGTACTAAATAAATAAAATATAACTTTTAAAAACATCATATAAGCCATAACAAACTAGTTACTCAATGTGTTGTTTAAGTGTTCTCAATTATTTACTACCAATTGTGCAGCATATTCAAAGATCCTAAATCCAGGTTTTGAGCTATGTCTTGAAACAGAGATTTCCTTGATTCTCCAAAGCAGTCAACAGACCTTCTTAAAACTTTATCTGCTGGCTTAAAGAAATATAATAATTGGCATCTTGATTGGAGGCATACTCTCAACTAATAGCAGAAGTGAAGGGATGTTTTAAAACGATGATGTATTCTCAAAGCGTCCTGATATAACAGGAAAAAACCACTCTAACACACTGAACATAGTTTTAATTTTTATAAAAGCACTAAATATATTTTCTGATAACACAATAAGGAAGGGAACTAAATGAATAAAATTAAGTAGCTTGTTGTCATTTCAGGCATGTCAGAACAAGAGTGGAAAATTCAAAGCCAAGGGAAACTCTCTAGCTTTCTTACCTGTTGTATAACTCACAGGGCCCAGTAACTATATAGGAATTAAAACTTACACCTCAAGAGAACATGCCGTACTTTTCAACTTTGTCCACATACCACAAATTGTTACCAAAGTGATGTTCCAAAGTATCTGACTGTTTTAAAATACAAGGTTGGCTTGCTTCTCTGATAGAGAAGAAACTGCAAACTGCTAACAAACAGGAAAAAATAAGCTCAGCTATTTATTTACTTATTGGTTTTATCCTGCTGTTAAGACCAGGAATTTCAGGAAGTTTTCTCAATTTATCCTTAGAACAAGATTGTAACGTAGTTCAGGTGAGTAGCCACGCTGGTCAGGTGAGTAGCCACGCAGAGGAATCAAGTCCAGTGGCACCTTAAAGACCAACAAGATTGCCAGGGTATAAGCTTTTGAGGGAGCTTTGAGTCTCACAAGCTTATCCCCTGGAAATCTTGTTGGCCTTTAAGTGAGTATTTATCAGAAATATATTTTTAAGTGTATCTGGTGATCTCTTCTGTTTTTTCTCCCACATTGTTTCTGGAAAGGTATTATGGTCTAGGTATACCTGTTCTATTAATTTCCAATCAGCTTTATAATTATTATTATATTGTTTCAAAAGTCCAACCAATGTGGTACTTTCATAGCATAATAATAAATCGGGAAGTGAAAGTCCTCCTTGGGATGGTAGTCTTCTCAAAGTTGGGAACCCCACTCTATGCATAGATTTATTCCATATATATTTTAAAAAATTGTTTTGCCATTGCTTGATTTTCTCTGGTGGCTACTGAATAGGAATTGCTCTATATAGACAATGAAATTTTGGAAAAATAAAGGTTTTTAAAACTTGGACTTTTTCTATCCATGTGAGAAGAGGTGCAGATGGCATTGTATGAGTTTTTCCAAAGATTTTGCTATATCTTCATGGTTATATTTGACCAAATCTGATAAGTTGGATGGTATCTTAATGCCTAAATATTTCCAATAATTTTTAGTCCAACTAAATTTATAGTTGCTTTCGATGTATGATTTATGAGCTCTTAGTAATTTTATTGGGTAAAGAATTGATTTAGAATCATTTACTCTCAAACCTGATATTTCACTAAATGTTGCAAGGGTACTTTGAATTTCCGGTAATGATGTTTCTGGGGAAGTCAAAAATAGTGTCATATCGTCTGCATAAAGACTAAGTTTCAGGATGTGGTCTTTAACATTAATGCCTAAAATTTTGGGATTAGTCCGTATGGCATTTGCAAGAGGTTCTATAGCTATTGCAAACAATAGCGGAGAAATAGGGCATCCTTGCCCTGTTCCTCTAGTGAGCTCAAATTGATCTGTATTAATACCATTTGTTTGGATACTTGCTGTTGGTGCTTGGTAAACTGTGGATCATATTCAAAAATTTTGGGCCAAAATTCATATATTTCACGAGGAATCTGAGATAGGATGTTTCCACACATTTGAAAGCTTTTTCAAAGTCTATAGATAAAATAAAAGATGATTCAATGCTGTGGTGGCGGCAATATTGGATCAATTTATTACTTTCCACGTGTTATCTGTGATCTCCCTATTGGGAATGAATCCTGTTTGGTCCATATGTATATAGGACTTGATGATCTTATTGAGTCTGGCTGACATAGTAGTTGTAAATATTTTGTAATCTTGATTCAATAATGAAATTGGTCTATAAGAGCTCATAAGTGTTGTGTCTCTATCTGGTTTTAGGATAAGGACAATTTTCGCTGTGTTCCAAGTATGTGGCATAATGCCTTCTTCCAAAACTTGGTTACATGTCTGAGATAGGGGGTCTGCTAAAATCATTGAAAACGTCTTATAAAATTCAGTGGTAAATCCATCGGTTCCTGGTGATTTGCCAGTTTTTAGTTTTTTAATAGTGGCTTGAATCTCCATCGGTGTAATAGGTTCTTCCAACCATGCTTTATGTTCTGTTGATAGTGTTGATTGAAGTGGAAATTGTTTTTAAAAGTTGCTCATTAATTCTATAGTGTGTGTCTTATATAAAGATAATATTCCAAAAATGTTTCTGAAATGTCTTTTATAGTATGTTTTAATTGACCATTTTTGTCTTTAATGGCATGAATAGCATTATCATTAAGTTTCTTTTTGAACTTCCATGCTAATGGCTTTACTGACTGTGGTGTTTTAAAACAGTAGTTCTGTTTGATGTATGCTATTCTTTTTTGAATTTGAGAAACTTCTATAGTTTCAAGTTTTTTCCTTTCTAAGAGTAGTGATTTATAAATTCGCTTATTTCCATATTTCTGGTACTCTTCCTCTAGATGTTTAATTTTATCTATCATTTCTTGTTTTAACTTTTGTTTTTCTTTTTTAAAGGTGGAGGCTACAGCTATTAACTTTCCTCGGACTACCGCTTTCAAAGCGTCCCACACCATATGTTGTGAAACTCCATAAGATGTATTATGTTCCAAATATTCCTTAATGTCTTTTTCTATTGTATCTGTTACTGATTGTAATAATAAAAATCTTGAATCCAATTTCCATGTGTATGATTGTGGTGCTTTGTCTCTATTGTCCATTATACATTCTACCCATGAATGGTCTGACCATATCCTGGGCCCAATATTTGTTTCTGAGAAAAAATGAGATATAGAAGAAGATGCTAGTATGTAATCAATTCTTGTGTGGGTCTGGTGTCTCGAAGAATAATATGTGTAGTCTTTGGTTGACAGATTTCGATGTCTTCATATCAACAAGACTAAAATGTTGCAAAATATTGTACAGTTCAGTATAGTCAGAACTAATAGGGTTCAACTTCTGTGATTTTGATTAGTTTTTCAGGTTTGATCTATTTAGAGCTTGGTTTAAAATGTAATTAAAATCACTACCTATTACACATGGAGCTGTGCTAAATGATGTAAGCTGTAGTATGGTGTTCTGAATAAAGTCCAACTG